TTTTTTTTTTTTTTTTTTTTTTTTTGGTAGTGGTGGTTGAACCTTGCCCTTCTAGGCAGGTGTCGGCACCACTGAGCTAAATCCCTGGCCCAAAGTAAGTTCTTGATGGATTAGCTTATCTGTTTAAAATTTAAATGCCTAGCTAAATAACATTTTAAATTTAAACCCTCATACATTTGAGTGCTTAAAATTTTTTCTCATTAATAAAAAATTTTTTTTGTCATTAATAAAAAAAAGTAACGTCATTTTCCATGGCTCATATTCATGAAGGGGAAGAGGAAAGTGTAGGCTAATCATGATCCATATCTCAAAATTATGTTTAGGACTTTTAAAAAAAAGTCCTGATTTTGTTTTCAGTTTTTTCCTTATTCAAGGAGGTATGGAGGGATATTTTGTTCATATATTAATAATTTTCTCTTTACTGTGTGTTGGGCAGTGGTGTAAGGTCACTGGGGAAACAATGTTGAGAAGGATATTTATAGTTCTTGTTAATAGTACTTCAAGGAAGAAGTTAAGTACAAAACCATAGCACAGTCTTCTGTGTGCTGTGATAGGATCCTCAGGGTGCTGTCAATCCATATAATCTTTCATGCTGGGAGGTTGGACTTCTCAGGGAAGTCTTCAAATCAGAGAGATTTCTGGAGGCAAAGATGCATTGGAATTCTAGTGAGATATCATTTTCGAATATATATAGAGTGTATATATTAGTTATATACTATACAGTATTATATAGTCTAATGACATATGTGCTTTGGATATACTCAAAGCTCGTTTTTGTGAGAATGTGTAAGAAACTGGCTACCTTGTTTGGCTGGGGAATGATGCAGGAGAGGGACTAATTTTTGAAGTCTATTCCTTTGTACATTGTTTTCTTTTATATTTTTATTTGGAAATCATAGACTCACGAGAAGGTCTGAAAATAGTACAGAACTTTCATGTATCCTTTACCTAGTTTCCTACAATGCTAGTAGCTTGCAAAACTATAATCCTGTATTATCTATTTAATTTTTTTTTTTTTATACTGGGGATTGAACTTGGGACCTTGAGCTTATAGGGCTGGTGGCCCTTTAAAGTAAAGTTTTAAAAAAGGCTTAAAGATTATTAATAGTTGATTTAATTATATGAAGATAGTTCACAGGTAATAACGATAAATAATGATATGAAAGTACATATACTTTTAAATTTGGCATTCTTTAAAATTTTTAATATTTTAATTTTTGGGGAGAGGTGCTACTAGGGCGTGAACCTGTGATCTTTGCAACTGGGCTAATTTCTCAGCCCTTTTTATTTAATTATTTTTTACTTTGAGACAGGGTCTTGCTAAGCTGTCCAGGCTAGGCTTGAACTTGTGATCCTCCTCTCTCAGCTTCCAGAGTACTGTGTTTACAGATGTGTGCCGCCACGCCAGGCTTTACATAGCTATTTCAAATTGATTCTGGTTGAAAAAGAGAAGTAGTGGGAGGGGAGAGAAAGAGAAGGAGACATTAAAAAAAAATAAGGTGTGTTATGTAAATGTGTTAGTTCCCCATGATGGACGTAATCATTATGTACTACAAACATGTAATAATAATTTAAGTTAAAAAATCTTGGCTCTTGGAATGTAAAATAACCTAAAATATAGTTGTTATGTTTTAACATATTTTTGAAATTTAAATTACATTGTAAATTTAAAGTCACTTCAAAAAATCCATTTATATTTTCTCTTTTAAAGGTTCATTTGAACTGTTTACTGTTTATTCATCGGTTAGCAGAACAGGCCAGGATAAATGCTTGTGAGGATAAATGTGGAATCATTAAGAAGGATCATGTGTTGGCTGCAGCAAAGGTACAACCTGAATTTCTTCCCTTGAGCAAGAATTAACTTTAAAGATACTATTGAGGTCATCACCTCTGCCTGACTTCGATACCTTATTTAGCTTGTTGATTGAGTTGATGCTTGGCTTTTCTTGTTGATGAGTTTTAACACAAGGATTTAGATGTTTCCCAATATATACATTATAGATTTCTGATTACAAGATTAATTACCACTGCTTTATTACTGTTCAGGGTAAAATAAATGTCTGATTGCTGACATTTTGTAACCTTGAAATTGTCAAAATTTTCTTCATCATCATTTTAAGTTACCTAATTAACTGATTTTCTAGCTTTGCTTTGAGGTATGAGTGACTTAAGAATTAAATCTCTTATAAACAGAGAAGATTGTTTTTTACTGGTATTTCTATATGATGGAAGAATGTGTCAGGTAGGGTAGTTTCCACGTGTTTCTGAGAATATTATTTCTAAAAGATGTTAATAAATTCTCTTCTCAGAAGCTTTTGTGCTGAGATAAATGTTAATAATCTAACATACCACAATACCTCCATGATCAGTCAGTGCTGTGTATATATATATATATATATATATATATATAGAGAGAGAGAGAGAGAGAGAGAGAGAGAGAGCGCGCGCGCGAGAGGTCAACACAAAAC